CCCACCCGAACTGTGTGACTGTTGTGCTCTTTTTTTTAACATGTTGTATTGTCTACTGTTTGTCTCCCCCCCTTTTTGAATTGTGCAATGGGATCCAGAACTCATCACTGATCTATAGATACATGGAATCTATGGTTTTATTTCAATAGCCATTGCTTTTATAACCATTTTTATGTCTTATGTTTGCCAGGGACAAAGGAATTTGTAAGGAATTCTGAAAAAAGCAGTTAATGGTACCAGGTTGACTCCCAAGTACACTTAGAGCTGATGAACAAAGTGACAGATGCATTGCCTACTTTGCCTTTGAGACACTACTTACATATGAATTATGAACACTGGGGAAAGGAGTAAACACACTTGATTATGGCCAAGTTCAGAAATCGCTGGTTCTATTGGAGTGGGTTTTGTGGCCTTCACCTCCTGACTGGTTCATACCACTTGGAAAATCCAAACAAAATCCAGAAAACCCCAAGACCCAGAGGAGCTGTTGCTCCTTCCTCCCTACCATTATGCTAATAGACTATGATTGGGTCAAGGTCAGGAGTGACTTGCTGCCAGCATTACTGCTGGTTCACAACCTGCATGCAACCTGCGCATGCGCACACAGTTCAATGTAAATTGTTCTATGTGCATGGGCAGAACAATTTACCATGAACTGCACACACACAGTCACTAAAATCCAAAATGGCGGCAGCCAAGCGGCAGCAAGGGAACTGGTTTGGGGGTGTGATACGCCTGGGTCACTGTTGGTTCTGCATCCCAGGCCTGAATTCCAATACTGGTTTCGCTGAACTGGGCCGAACTGGCAGCAACCCACCTCTGATCAAGGTGCACTACTTATATTTTGAATATCGTAAGATGCAGGGCTGTAGGCAGGATAAAATGCCCCAAAACTGAAGCCAGGGCTGTATTGGGTGCTTATTTTAACTCCAGCCAGACTCTTCTGTCCTGTCTTGAAGTACAACATTTTCAATAGAACTATCTACTTCAATAGATTAATAAGGCTGTGTTTTCCATTCCTAGACATTGTGTCATTGATACCATGTAGCAGAATGTTGTCTATGCCCTTAAGTGTTACTGTGTAATATTTGGATAAGGGAGATTCCCCGCTCAACCTTACCCACAGGATATAATGATTTGAGCTTGGGATCCTTTGCACATGAAAGAGGATATCTCTCTTTTAGCTATGGTTTGCAATATGTGGGTGTGAAGACATACCACAATGCCCTGGTTTGAAACAGCACATTGAAGTTTATTTTACTGAAATCTCGTTAGCGAAAATATATGCCAACCCTGAAGCTGATCTATCTGGAGCCATCTTGGAGTTTCAGTGTTGCCACTCTGCAGCAAGGGATAGGGAGGAGCGATTAGAGATAGCTGGGGTTGTGTAGTCAAAATAAAATACTTTCTCTTGGGAACCAAGGACGTTCTCACAGCTGGCCGGAGGAAGGAGGAGTGATGTCACCTGACCAGCAGACCCTGCCTTGATTGGATCATGTGACTGATTGTTTGGGGCTGAGTGAAAAAGCTTTATTTTAATTAGGTGAAAACCAAGAAGCCCCTCAAAGTTGGTTTTCACCAGATATGTGCCAGTATGATATTTCCAATAAAGCTATTCTTGAGGAATTCACCTGCCTCAGAGTTTTTGCTTGCGATGGATATATCACTTGGAACCCTGACATTATAGCTATTCCTACTTTACATACATAATGTGCTTTGCTCTGAAGCTTTTAAACAGACTTGAGAACAGGAATCAAATTCAGTGAGTCATGCAACTTACAAACTTAACAGAAGGTTGGATTGCCACACAAGAAAATAAGTCATTATAGTATTAGCTGCCAGATTTTCTCTAAGAAACCACTGGGAAAGTAAAGTTCATCTCTCTTTGAATCAATATTTATTCCAAAACTGGGAGACGGCATTGGCCAAAAAACATAACTTAGGAAAAAAGAGAACCAGAAATAACTTTCAAAGAAAATGTTGCTTTATTCAGATGTTGTCTATGTTCTTCAGTTACATTGACCCATTAAAATCTGAGGTTCTCAAAGATTCTCTTATTTTTATACAATTGTGTATGATACATTCAGTAAGACATGCACATGGAAGCTTCTCCAGGCAACTTCTTTAGTGTTTCTTCATTAATGTATCTCTTCCTTCCAGATTTGCTGGACAAATTGTATCCTCTCTGGGCCAACACTTTAAACTCTGTTTGGTTACTTGACTTACCCTTTCTTAGTACAATAACAAGAGAAAACATATAAGCTTAATATGTATGTACCAGCTGGAGTTTCTAAATTATTGCTGAATAGAAAAACAAAAATTGGGCTTAAGATTTGAGTCATGTAGTTTCCATTTCTTTCACATTTGACTTCTATTATACCGTGTTTCCCAGAAAATAAGACATGGTCTTATTTTCTTTTGACCCCTGAAATAAGCACTTGGTCTTATTTTTGGGGAAGTCTTATTATTTTTTGAGGTCAGAAGGTGGCGAGCGTGGTCACCTTATAGCTGCTGCTGTGTTGCAATATTTCAGGGAGGGCTTATTTTAGCGCATGTGCTCAAAAGCCTAATTGGGCTTATGTTCCGGGGAAGTCTTATTTTTCAGGGAAACGGGGTATACAAAATATAAAGTCAGTTTTTAATAATTTAACTCGTGTTTCATTCAAAGTTATCATAAAACAGATTATAATTGCTACAATGTATTGTAAAGTACAATTCTATAAGTGTACTGTTTTAAACAAAATCATAAACAGCATATGGTTTTAATCATGGTTTATCAAGCTAACTATGCTTGGATGGCAGCAGTGCTGATATTCAAGGAAGCCTATTATATACCTTGGGCCCAGCTCTTATTTTCATATATGAGATAACAGTGTATATCTTCAGCTCTTTGTCCCAATCGTGGATCAGAATAGAATAACAAAATTGGAAGGGACCTTGGTGGTCTTTTAGCCCAACCCCCTGCTTAGGCAGGAAACCCTACATCATTTCAGACAAAACAATGTTATAGCAATTTGTGATCATAATCCCAGTCTGAATCTACTCCCTCAATTGGGAAACTAACTGGTGTAAAATTCAGTGTACACCTATATCAGATCTTATACCAGGCATAGCAACAAATCCTGACACCTTGTGTTCAGTCCATAAATCAATGTGGTGGGAACACAGGGAGCTATTACCACAGTCAATTACACTCATTCTCTCTCAAGGATTCCACCACAGTCATGAACTGAGCCATGCTGTGCCAAGCAACGGCATTGCTAGCCAATAAAGCCCAGCCATAAATGCTTTCTCCAGATGATAGATCAGCAATGCAAGCTGCTGTCTTTGGCTTCAGAAGGTGGGCTGTCATTATTTCTTCTTCTCTCTTCCCAAACAGTAATGGTGGTCATTCCACTTGAATGGAAATAAAACCAGAGCTTTACCTATCTTTCATGCTTAAGATATATTTATTTAAAAAGCAAGTGGCTACATGTACAGAACATCTTACACCCAGTCAGTTTAAACAATGCAGGATTTATTTTGTAGGGGAGTTAGAGAGTTATGGAAAAAGAGCGCATTTGGTCAGTTAATGGTGCTGTGTATTGGCTGATCCCAATGGCTATCAATCTCTGAAAGAAAGGGAAGTAGAAATTGAACTGTTTAGGCTGCTCACAATCTGTGACAGAACTACTTGCCTGAAGACAGGCGATGTTCTCTCTAAAGGTACTACCATAAAGAAACATGAGTTAGAGGAGGGGAATGGTCTAGAAAATTTCTAAGAGTCTACGTTCGGTGGGTATCCATTAGTATCCTAAACTAGGATGGTTTCATGAGATAACAATCATAAACAAGCATGTCCTGTACTAGAGACTTGAATATATCATGAATGTACAGCTACTCTCCATAACTAATATTGTATCTGGTGAATACAACAGCAAAAGGAGGCTGTTGCTATGGGGAAGAATTTTTGGATAGTTGAGAAACTAGGACCAAAAGGGACTATGCCTCATCATGACATGGCTCAGCTGTTGGCACCCTGCCAATAACCAGGTACCCTCCAGGTGAGACTGTTTCTTCAAGGAGAGCTGGAAAGGTATCTGGAGCTGTCTATCATTATAGCTGGGTTGTGCCAGTGGTTATGTGTTAGTGCTAATAGAAGCGCAGCTCAACTCTATTGATTTGGCTGGTCTACCATAGCATAGCTGAGTGGCCCACCAGAGCAGCTTCTGAGATGCTATCACTCTCCTGTCTCCTCCATGAAGCTTGGATGAAATAGATGTGGGTTGAATGATTACTAAAGGAAGAAATGGAAGGACTGGCTGACAAGGCCAGTTTTAAAACAGGAATGGGCTAAGCTTTGAGAAACTTTAGCAGTTTTGTTTGGAAAGTGCTAACAGCGATTTAACTCTAGAGATTCTATCTAGCAAATATAACAACTGAACATGGCAAGAATGCCAAGAATTAAAAAAAATCCACAATATGGTAGGGAAAGACCCTCTGTGAATAGAAGGCGCAAGTATAGACAGAAACAAAGCATATATTAATTAACGAGGATCATGTGAACCATACAAAATAGCTTAATTAATGGACACTTTGGGCTATGAAATGATAAGGAAACTGTAGCAAGTGAAAAGAAAACTGAAATTTTGAGAGGCCCCCTTTGGACTTTGAGACCCCAATGAGACCCTAAACTGTAAGTTGCTTAGCTTGTCCCTAATTCTGGCACATTCAGCAGGCTGCCACGGGAACAGTAAGAAAGTGGTAACTGCTGGTGCCCATATGGTACTTTCTGTAAGGTTCAGCCCCATCAGTGGAACTCTGGAAAATGATCCCCTTAGGCTTACCAGAATGAGGTAAATCCTTGGCCCAGCATTTTCCACCTCCTCCCATTGCTCTTCATCCTCTTCCTACTCCTTGCAGTTCAGTAGTATTTACGGCCCATGAAGCTGGCGTGACACAAGGCAAAAAAGCATGCCAGGCTGTAGCCACATGAAGACCTTACAGCAGCACAGCAATTCTATGGAGTATCGTGCACTGCAGCAGAATCCTCCTCCAGGGTCCACTCTGTGTCAGGTAGATGAGAACTGCTCCAAAGAGAGGAAAGGGAGAGGAGGAAGAGGTTGGAAGGGAGCACAGAGTTAAAACATCCAGAAGCCCATGGGAAGGGCCACCTGTGAATATGGCATAGAGAACTATTTGTCTCCCAGGGACAATTTCATGGCTGGGGCTGCAGGTAACGCTTCTCCAATCATTATTGTCTGAAGTCCGGAGAAAAAAGAAGACTTCAGAAATCTCACCCTCAACTGTTGGAGGGATACATAGCAGAGAACCACTGCCTTGGGGAAGGGAAATGAATACAAACCACACATCATCCATGAACTTCAAGCAGCAGGTAACGTGGGTCTCATGGGCGAGGAAAGGCAGTAGGAAAGGCATCTGCAACAGATGAGACTGCCCCAGGATATGCCTGGCTCCTTGCCATATCTGGGCTCACTGCCAAAACTCCTTGCCAGCATTGTTGTCATTTCAGAGCAAGCAAAAGGGAACCCTGACTACAATTTCTTAGTCTGGCTTAATTTTACCCAATTACACTATGGGCGATGCATAGGTTAGGTTGCATTCAGTTATATATTTTAGGAAGACTTAGTAAACTTAATTCCATACATGTAAAATGGAACATTACAGAACACAGGCACGGATAATGGAGCTAATACACTGGCCTGGCTGGGGGAAGAATCCAAAAATACTTCCTCCTTTTTTATTACAATAAAACAGCAGGCTAAGACAGCTCCCATTAAAATCTTTTCTCCAGTGACTTTATAAGCTATTGCTAGGCTTTTAACACTGAAGACCCCTCTAGTGAATATTTGGGAATCAAGCGACCAAGCCTTTACAGGAGGAAGGAAGGCAGTGGCTGAATTTGAATCAGCCAGGGTCTCTTTGACAGTTCATAATCGACTTCTAGACCATGCAAGGAAAAGCTTTACAGAATCTATGGAGATTCTCAGTCATCCAGGTCATCTGGAGCTGAAGAAGCTTCTTGGATGAGAAGCAAAAACGTCTTCAAAGAAAACCCAGAAAGTCCAGTTGCCTCTTGGAAGGAAAAAAAAAAGCATCTTTGAGACACCTTATAGAATCGATCACAGTATTGTGGGCGGCTGATAATATAATAGCAACAGATACTATACTAACAGCGAGGGATAAAAGAGGGAAGAATATGGAAGGAAAGCCAGACGTGATAAATTAGCTTTACCTGTGGAACTTACCACGCAATTTTCGCTGCCTCCTTGGACTTCGGCTGGAGATCCGCCCCACTCAACCCCGGGTCGAGCTTCCCGGGAACCGCCGTCCTAGGCAAACACAAACACACTCGCCGAACGGGAGCCTGACCGCTAGAGAAAGCCGGATCGGCGAGCAGGTGGGCCTCCAATGAAGCTCTCCCCCGCCCCCCAAAGTCCCCCGTTGGTCAACAGCTTGGCGATGCCACGGAACTCTGGACCAGCTCCTTCTCATTATTGGACGAGAGGCTTGTCAATCCGCCCCCATACACGCCCGACTCGCCTGCTTGCGGCTTCTAAGGGACGGCTTAAGGAGCGTTGGCTGCTGTGAGCTGTGCGAGGCGGCACGGCGGAGAAGAAAGTTTTTGCAAGACTTGGGCACCTGACTCCGCATCTCTCTCCCGTGCGCGCTCTGGAGTGGGGCTGGCCAAGGGAAGCAGCCGAGCCTTGGAGCGGACAAAGCTTTGGAGACAAAAGTTTCTGCTTCTTTCCTTTGGTTTTTCTTGGATTGGTTTACAGCCGGGAAGATCCCAGCAAAACGAATCAAGCTCTCGCTTTCACCTTTGCTTTTGGGCGGGGGAGAAAATGTTCCTTGCCTGTGAAACAGGTCGCGATTTTGATGGAAATTCGCTGACTTGAGCCTCGACCGGTTTCCCTTTTTTGCAGAAAGCGAGAGAAGGGTGTGAATTACGCACCTATTTATTGACTTTTCCCCCCTCTTTTTGCTGCCGTTGCTCTTCTCCCACCCGCTTCTTCTACCGGAGCCCCAGGTTTTGTCGGAGCTATATGGAGGGATCTCAGAATGGTTTGCAACAGGAAAGCCAAAACTTTAGTGTCCACCTGCGTGATTCTCAGCGGGATGACTAATATCATCTGCTTGCTCTACGTGGGCTGGGTCACCAACTACATCGCCACGGTTTCCGTGAAAGTTCAGGAGCCGATCTCGGAGAAAAAGTTAGAGGAAGACAAAGGAGACACCCTAAGGATTATAGAAAGACTGGACCACTTGGAAAGTGTCATCAAGCAGCACATCCAAGGTACTCCCTCGCTTCCGCAGTCCCGTTTCTCTCCTTCGAAAGAGCGTCTCCCCCATTTTCCAAGTCTCTCTCTTACTCCCTAGCAACCCCCCCTCTTAATAAACCCCCCAAGCGTTGCACAGGTTCCGTTTATTTGGAACATGGGTGTTTTGAGGTCACATTCCTGCTGCCACAGGCGGGATGGTGGACTCTGGTCCGAGGGGAGGATGCGCGGGAGGGGAGGGAGGGAAAAAGGAGCGGAGAGTTAAAGAGGAAAAGAAATTCGTTGAGAAGAATCGGGAGCTTTGTTAGGACGGGCTCTCCTTGGTCGGGCGAAGGCTCCTGCTTCCTGGCTGCCTTCCCTCTCAGCGAAATCGCTGGGTGCCGCCGGCTAAGCCGCTGCCTGGCTGGCTGGAGCGAGAAGCTGAGGCGGTGGGGGCAGCGCCCATAGCTTGTCAGTTCCCTTCCTCCGTGTGGCTCGATAATCTGGTCGCCGCTAGTTCTGAGGATCGAAGGGAATCCCGGTTGTCTTGAAGCCTTTGAGGGGACCGAACGAGCGACGGTCAATTCCTGGAGGAAGCGGTTTGATGGTGTGTGTGTGTGTTCGCGTGTGTGTGTGTGTTCGCGTGTGTGTGTCTCCGTCCCTCCATTTCCCGCCTTTCCGTGAGAACCGGCGATTGCGAAGAAGCGGCTGATGCTTCCCAGCCAGAAGCTCTGCTGGTGGCTATGGGTAATCTGGCGCTTGACAGCTGGCAGTTTAGCCCGAGGGAGGGAAGAGGATGTGGGGAGCCTCTTGGCTCGGTCAGAAGTCCGATCCCGGTGGAGGATTTAATCCGAGGAACGGCATCTCCTGAGCGGGTGGGTTGGGCTCTCACTGTGTCCATCGGTGTAACAAACCGGCTTTCGAGCCTGTTGAAGTTGCTCCATGGAAGAGACCTCGGAAGATCTTCTCTGGAAAGATCTTGGCATGGGATTAAGCAGCTGATCTTAGTTTTCATAGTGTGCTATGGCTATTTTTTTAATGTGTCGTGTTCCCTCCCTCTTCATCTCCATCTCTGCTCTTAAACCCCTGGACTAGTTGTGTTAATTGCCTTTGTATATAAACATTGCATATTTCGGCGTTTTGTTTCCTCTGATTGAGAGGAGGATGGTTTGGGAAAACGATCTGAGATTATTCCCAATCTGGGTAATGGCATTTGACTGCTTCTGCTGTAGAAAGGGATGCTGGGGAAGAATAGGAAGCATCATTTCCTTGCCAGATGTGGTTCTGGACCCTTCTCCTCCTTTTTACTTCCTAATATGTTATTAGTTACAGAAGGCATGATATATTGTCTTTATTTACCCTCTGATGGAGATGGGAGAGGACCACATGCTTTCCAAATGTTTTAAGGGCTCATGGCCAAGTGGGGTTTAAAATATTTCTGTCTTCCCTTTTTCCCATATATTTTTTTTAATGAATTTCCTGGAGGGGAAGCCCTTGGCACATTTTCAGATTCCACACTGCTTTTGTTTCTCCATATTTTGCACAGTTTTTAATCAGATAAAGAGACCACGTTCTCCACGTTATTAGATGTGTGCAGAGTTTGTCCATAAGGCGACCACAATGGACAGCTCTATTCTTATTTTTGGAATTGTGATATCTAAGGGGAAAAAAGGTCTATGAAAAATGAGAATGTTTGATAACTTCAGTTACCAATCTCTTGGGATGGATGAGGTCCTGCAGTATTCAACTCCTGCATCCATCCAGACAGAATTCAGCTAGTTTGCTACAGCTGCTAAACAGATTCCTTTTCTCCTAAATCAATTTTGCCAGTCTGACAGAGTGCTCCAGTTAAAAGCATGAGCTTCAGTGGAAACATATTAAAGGCATACACAACACACATTCATTAGAAGATTTCTATGTATAAAGGAGGCTTTCCAAAGTCCTTCTAGTTCCTTAGAATGTAAATACAATGTAGACTTCTTCCCCTTCTGTCTATTTACTGGCTACACCTGTGCAAAGGTATTTTTTTTCAGAAGGTAGAGCAATATCCCTTCTAAATCTCCCTCCCCCAGGAATCCTGGAATATGGATCTTGTTATAGAACTTGTGCTACTAAAATGTTAAGCCCACTGTAAGTACGATATTTGTATTCTGGTTACAGTTGTTTAGAAGTAGAATTCATTCCTTAGTTTTCCCAGGCTTTCCCAGAAGAAGCCAAGTTAATGAAAGTTTTGGTGACATCCTAAAGTTTTCTGTCACTGTTGGCCTGGCGTTTATTCAGCAGCACAAGTTGAAGTCATGATTTTTGATACTTTGTTTCTGCAAAGATTGGGGCAGACTCCATGATAGAAAAAAAATGCTTTGCATGTAAGATGTTCAGCTCACCTTCTCAGAAATTAAAGAATCTATTGACAACAAAACTGAGAGTTCCAGCCATAGCATTAGAACTGCCCTGATCTTTATTTATTTATTAAACAAATATGTGTGTGTGTGTATGTATGTATATATATATATGTATGTGTGTATGTATGTATGTGTGTGTGTGTATGTATGTATGTATGTATGTATGTGTGTGTGTGTATGTATGTATGTATGTATGTATGTGTGTGTGTGTATGTATGTATG